ATGGTCAAGCCCTAGAGTTTTGAGCCACTCCACATGGCTCTGTCAGGTTTCAGTGGGGAGCTGACTCCAAACACAGGGGCTGAAAGGACGTGACCCTAGGCAGAAGAGCTTGGGATGCTTTGGTGTTTTCAAACTTCTTGCCCAAATATAAACCCTCAGCATGGCATTCAAGACCTTTTATGTTCCGGTGTATCATATAATGATGTGATTTAGCCTCATCTACAAACCAAACTGCTTAAAACCTCGAAAACAGAATATAAGAGATCCCAAGATGAACTCAAAGATAGCTAACTTCTCCCAGGGCATATAGAGACATGGCCCCATACTACCAACCTCTTCCTAGCCTGGTCCAAGCACATGTCCCATAACAGTCATTAGCCACATCAAAAAGGCAGATGAATGACTTTTAGCCATTTAAGACCTATGGCACACCCACCTAGAAATAAAGTTGTGGATGTAGAGTGACAATCTCGTCTACCTACCTAGCCTCCCCCATCCTCACATGCCCACACTGGGTTATGACCAAAGCTGAGTGGGGACTGACTAGAGAGCTCAGGCTCTGTCCCGAGGGCCACTCCTGCTCGGTTCAGTTTCATTTCCATTTCCTTGTGGGAAAGCAGACCTCGTGTCGCAAGACTTACGTGGTTTCTAGACAAACTGGAAATCCAGATGGGTATGTGAAGCCTCTCAATTTCATAGAATTTGCAAATAATACTTCAAAAAGTAAATCCTATGCAGGCTGAAAAAAATATATATAGTCGGATGAGGCCCACGGGCCCTTAGCTCTCTCTGTTTTAGGTGTAGACAGGCTACTGACATACAGTTCCCCTTCTTCTCCAAACAAGTTCACCCCTGTGCTCAGCATCCACACTTCTAATCCAAGTAATAGAAATATACAAAGGTCTTCAACTTACAGCCAAAACAGGGGCTGGAAAGCAAACCCACTTTTGTTGCAAGGAATGTTCCAAATGCTTCTCTGAGCTTGTGCTCCAACATTCGGAATGAGGCTAACCCATTAAGCATTCTGAGGACCTCACAAGACAACATATAATTAAGAGCTAAGTTGTATATGACCAGCTGGCAAATAGTGGATTGGGCCATAATAGCAACTATCAGTCAGATCAACTTAAGAAATCTACATTGCTTCATTATCAACACGAAAACTGCTTCTTTATCAGAGCCTTCTTGACCATTTCCCACTTCCAGGTGGTGTTCTTCCCTTGATCCTTTGAAATGAGTCATGTGTTCCTTCCTAAAGTACTTCAGAGGAAGAGCAGAAAATCTGGGGGCTCCTCACACTCATCCTTGCCATTCCCCTTTTGAGTGGGATGTGCAAATTTGCTTCTCCTTGGAACAGCCTCTTGTACATATGGTATGTTCTTGGAGGAGATGTGCCTGCATCTCAGGGAACTTACTCGGGGCAGGGCTGGCACCAGAATATGGCCTTCTTCATCAGAACCAGGATAGTGGGGATGCGGGGCTTCAGGTCACCAATCAACAGCAAGGCAAATCTGGCTACCCATTGTGTATGCAGGAAAACAAGATGGATTTAGGTATATTCTGACTGATTCCTTGTTACTATGTTGAAATGTGAAGACCTGAGAGAGAGAGATTTGAAGTTTTCCATGTTTGTTATATAAACCTTGCTGGAAAATCAAAAGCATCTGTCTACATTCCTCTCTCTATTGGGGGCCCAGCAACCATTCAATTCTCTCTTGATAATATCACCCTGATTTTCTTTTGGAAAATTACCTCCTCCCCGCTGGCTTTGGGCTTAGGGACTATTTTTTTTTTCCAGACGCTCTATCTTACCCTAGTCCGAGACTGAAAATATTCTGTGATTCTTTCACTGGTTCATTTCACAAATATTCACTGAGCATCTACTTTGTTTCAAACGCTAGTCTTGGTGCTGAAAACATGGAAAATTAATAGTCAGTGTCTTCTCACTTCTGATTTTGTGGAGTTTACAGGCTAGGGTATAATCCAGCTTCCATTGACCTAAGCTAGGCTAATTGTCAAGATTCCTCTCTGGAATTAGGATCTTCTACAGAATGACACAATAGCTAAAAACGACTGGACTCATCTATTCCAGCTTGGCACCCTTGTGAGATGCGGGGCGGCAGGGGGGTGTCTCTGAATCTTTGACTCCTAAAACTGCTCATATTTCTATCCATGGGAACTCCTGGGTGCTTACCTAGATCTGTGTCATACTTTCCAGCCTTCCCGTCAATGCCATGAGTACTCAATATACTTCTATTAAACCCCTCTTTGTTTTTGTTTACTGGTGTCAGTTTTTATTGCTTGTAAGCAAAGAACCTCCCCTGATGTTGGAGCTGCTTCTCAGCCTATCTATCTGGTCACGAAGTTGGCTTGGGTACCTCATCTTATCAAAACCTGGAGGATTTTTTTTTTAATCAGAAAAACAGCAAAACAAGTTGTTGGAGATAAATGAAGTCATGCTGTAGAAAACATTCATTCTCCTTTCTCTCTCTCTCTCTCTCTCTTCTTTCTTGACTCTCCCCCACCTTAGAATCAGTAATATCTATAGTACAATTTTAATGGTAACCAATCATGTCTTCTCACTAGAATATTGATGTAGTTCTAAGCAGTAATGATTAGGGACTTGTATGCCTTGGTTCTTGCCTATCTTGACTTCTTCCAGGTTTTAACTAAACCACTTCTCCATCCCTCAGTGACTGGCATGCTCACTATTTGGAACATGGATGTACATGCTATTTCATCATTGTTTTGTATCAGGCAGCTTGTCTTTCAGACTCTGTATATTGAAACTTCGAGTGAGGCTTGAAGGGAATAGGAGTCTGAGATATGCCACGAATGCAGCCTGTCTCTTTCTAGGCTGAACTCCCACATGGCAGCAGAAAACATACATTGTTCTGGTTATTTTCAGAGTCCAGGAAGATAATGCAATATTAGGCAAGGTGGTGAGAGCCTAGAAATCGGAGAGGGTGTGCCCTGCCTCTGGAACCAGCCACCACTCAGCTGTTGCCATGTAGAAACATAGGCCCGTATTGCCAGATCTTCCCGCTTTTGAAGAGAAGTTTTGAAATCTGGATTTGTGGGTGAAATCTCCCAGTGTTTAGGTGTTGTCAAGTAACTAAAAAGGAATTAATGCTTGAAGACCAAAGGAAACATGTCTGTGGGCAGATTTTAGCCTATGAACTGCCAGCTTTCAGCTCTGGATCTTCCTTTACCTATTCTGCAATGCACTTTACGCTAGATCAGCTTGCTGTGCTTCTGGATACTTTTAGCTTTATATTTTGGTACTTCCTTATTCCCTTGCCTTGTCTGGAATGGATAACCTTCTCCTAGACCAACCGCTTTATGGTGTCGCCCTAGGAATTACCTCAGGCTGTAACCCTTGGGTGCCCTTGGCTTCATTCCAGGCCTGAGGACAGTTGGCCAGACTTCTAGCCTCCAGCCTCTGCTTGAATGCTTTCTGTGACAGGGAACTTATTACCGCCCATCTGCTGATTCCATAATGTGAAGGCATATGAAGGAATAGAAAGGATACGGATTTGGGAGTAAAACAAGTATGAGTTCATCCCAGCTTAGTTTCTCAGTGTGTGCAAGCCACAGTTTCATCTATCAAACAAATACTTATTTGGGGAATTAAATGTGATAATGCTGGACAGCATATGGTGCCTTTCACATAGGAAGTAAGAGGGTCATAGTTGTAGTTTCTCTTTTTAAAAATTATTTCCCGTCCATTTATCCTGGGAATGCATATGTCAAATTTCATGTTCACATTATGGTCTCTCAAAATTAAGACCGTATGTAGTCGCTTTTCCAGACTTAACTGAACTGGTCATTTGAAGTGTCAAAGGACCCCATATGGACATGAAGCCCAGTCACTCCTGGGATTCAGGCAAGATGAGGAGGTGTGTTTACAGAGATAGAGAAGGCCTTCTGGAAGCCTGATTGAGGGACTGAGGACCCACCTGGGAAAGGGGTCATCTTAGGACAAGAGTATCAGGGGAAAGGGTTTTTGTTTAGTTACAATGTTTCACTTCGGGGTGGGAAGTTGAACTAGGAAAAGGTCTTTCCCAGCACAGCATGTGAGACTTGTGGTCTACCTCATGCCTCTGGACCCATGCATGACTCTCTCAGGAGAAGGCTGTGCACCAAGAAATGAATAAAAGGAAAGCAAAGATAAATAGTTGTTTTGGCTTTGGAAAACCTTGGGACATAGGGGCAGGACGGCTTGGAAGCTCATGAGCAAAACGGGACTGGACTGTGGGGGTAAGAGACAGAAAATGCCGCTCTGCACCTCCCCACCAGCACCTCCTGCAGATGCACCCCTCTCGGGATGACAGGGAGACCGGCTCTGCAATGCTTTACACATGAGAACTGCAATAATCACTATTATTCAGTGTGATGGTGTGTGGCTTATAGCGTCTGTGACTTGACAATCAAGTAATGAGCTATTGATGAGGGAAATGAACCTGATGACAGCTGAGGCTGGAGACCATTAACATAGAAGCCTTTCCTGCTGAATGTTATCACCTGGGATTCTTTGGCAATAGCTAATAATTATAGCCACATTTATTGAGATGTTACTCTGTCCTGAGAGCTTTTTACAGATTTTTGCATGCAAGTCTCCACAACAAATCTTTACGAAAAGTATATTACTATTCTGTTACAGATAAGGAATCTGGGCAGATGAAAACAAATACCACCAAGTGCTGGGAAATGGGAGCTCGGGGCACACTCATCACTAGAGAGTTTGGTAAGAGACACAGTAGTGAAGTGGCAGACCACACATGGTCCCCTGAGCTCTGACTGTCCTCAGAGGAGGGATGCTCAGGCTGGGCAGAAATGGGCAGTGGGTGGGGACTCTCTAGAGAAGGATGCTGCTCCTGTCCTTGTCCATGGTACTAGGGAAAGGGTAGGGTCTGTGCCTTCCAGACTGCAGTGCACATGGAAATCACCTGGGGGATCTTGTTAAAGAAACAGAATCTGAATCAGAAGTGGGAGGAAGGGTGGGTGGCGAGGCCCAAGACTACATTTCTTCAAATCCCCCAGGGAATACCAGTGCTGCTGGTCCACGGATCACTTTATGAATATGGGGCTGATCTAGGCGACTAGGTAACAATGGAGCTTTTGGTTAGTTAGAGAACCCACCGTGTTGGGAAGAGTAGCTCTGCTATGGTTTCAGCTTGTACTTGCCACTGAGCTAACAAACCTGCTGAGCCAACCAAAAAGAAATTGCAAATTGAACATAAGCAGAATCACAAAACTAATAAAATTAAATTTTTAACGTTAATTTCATATGATGGTAATATGTTTAATATTGTGGTAAATCAGCACCCATTAAGTGAACAGCATATAAATTACTATAGCCAAGTTTCTTTTCATTTTAGCAATATCCCTTCAAGTTAGCATGAACTAATTGCAAAACTTATTTTTGTACAACTCACTCTGATGTTCTTTTGCCTCCCCTTGATTCAATAGCATCCTTTATCTGTTATGCTCACCTCACTTATTTTTGCTTTAGCCTGTGACAACTGAAGTCATATGTGGTTGCTTTCATGAAGACAAATCAAAATCTTGATTTAATAATAACATCAGAAGCTAAAGTCTTCTTTCATGAAAATAACTTCCAACTGCAAAAAAAGAATCTTGTTTTTCTTCCTGTCAAAATAATCCAAATGAATATAAGAACCAAAAGATGTGGAATTATGTCATTTTGTTTGTTAATTTTTAAAACTAATTTTTTTAAACGTTGTCTTTTTTTCTTCCCTCAAAATGGTAGCTTTTGACTTCTTCCTTCCTTTTTTTTTTTTTTTTAAAGATTTTATTTATTTATTTGACAGAGAGAGACACAGCGAGAGAGGGAACACAAGCAGGGGGAGTGGGAGAGGGAGGAGCAGGCTCCCCGCTGAGCGGAGAGCCCGATGCGGGACTCGATCCCAGGACCCTGGGATCATGACCTGAGCCGAAGGCAGACGCTTAACGACTGAGCCACCCAGGCGCCCTGACTTCTTCCTTCCTAATCTGATTTCAGTTCTGTTCTCATTTCTAACTCCAAGTTCTGAATTGTTGCTTTTACATGTCAAATCTACATTACTTACATTTTGTTCCCTAATGGTAATTAATCCTCTAAGCCTTATCCATAGGTTGATTCTGAAAATTGAAAATCAATAGTGATTTAATTATTATGACTGTTTAAATGTGGTTCACTACACACCCATAGCTATGATTAAGTGTTCTTTCTCATATGACTTTTTGCCTGGAGTTCAAATTTTTTTGGAACTAATTACTTTAGATGTATTTCTAATTTTGTTCAACCACTTCTACAAATTTAGGATTCTACTGAGCCAACCTATTTCCCTGGAGAGTCCCTTCTGGGCTTTACATGTCTGATAATGTCTTTATTCTACCATCTCATTTATTGATACTTTAGTTATGTATTGAATCCTAAAATGATATGATTTTCCCACAGAAAGTCAAGAGCTCCTAATAGCTAGAGTTGCTAATGGATCATTTGATGCTGCCTTTGCTTTCGTTTTGGATTTTTTTTTCTCAATTTTGCTTTTAGGACTTTCTTTTTATCCTTAATATTCTGACATTTGGTGGTCATGTGCTATATATGTGGGGTTTTTTTCTTAATTCATTGTGCTGGGCACTAGGTGTACATTTTCAATATGAACATGAAGTCCTTCTGTTCTGGAAACATTTTCTCATTACTTCTTTGATACTTTCCCCTGTCATTTGTCTTTTGATCAGATGTTGAACGATCCCGCATTCCCTCTGGGTTTCTTGTTCATATTTACCACCTCTTTATTTTCCTGTTCTACTTTGCAGAGATTTCCCAGATCTGATTTTCCAACTTTTCCATCAAATTATTTTCTATGCTAACAAATAGGTCTTTACTATCTAGGAGGTATTTCTTGGTATGTGTTTATTCCATTTTCACTGGGAAAATGCTTGCTGCATGTTGCAACATTTTCTCAAATCTCTTTGAGAACATACACTAGAGTTTAAGTTCCTTCCTGTTCTTTGCATGATGTCTGTTTCCTTCAGAATCATGTTTTGCATCTGTTCACTTTGATGTCTCTCTTTCAGGCTGGAGGGTCTCCCACTTGAAGACCTCTGAATGTTCATGCTCAAGAACAAGTCAATTAAACCTGACCCATATCATGGACAGACCTTGCTGATCTTGCTAATTTATTCAAAGTGAGACCAGTTGAGGGAAACAAGTGAATCAATCCCTGGTGAGCGCCCAGAGGTAAAGAACATCCTTCTGGAGAGAAGATTTTTTTTTCTTTAAGTCTTGGCATAGAAACCTGGCTTCCAAGAATTAGGTCCTCCAGGGTGAAGTGGATTTGACTATGTCAAAAATAGACTTTTGATTAGTCACCTTGTTTTGGGCCCCACATTGTAATCCTACCCTCCTTTGCACATTTCATAGTGCTGAGGCCCTTACATGCATGAAGGGCATACTGGCTCCCTCTTCACTGGAATCTTTTTCTGTACATACTCTGGGCTGTGGCTTCCTGGATTCTGCATCACCACTTTCTAACCATCTATATTTTATCCATCTTTCAGAGATTTGGTGAACTCTTCCTTCTGATGGCTCTCTTTTCATCTTTTTTTCATTGAGCATTTAGACATTATTTTCATTCCCATCCTATCTTTTATTGACGTATTGTTAGAGAGAGGGAACAAACTCACATGGCCAAACAGTCAACTTCAACCGAAGTCATTAATATCACTGTGGCATTAGAAATGCCAATCCACTGACAGCCTGATCTGCTTACCTACATCTGTAAAGATAAATTTTGCCTGTAATTAGCACCAGTGATTACTTGGAGCCAGTGAAATTATAAACCACGGGCAAAGACAGTACTTGATTATAAGTATATGTTTCAAATAAGATGTTTTCACTGTAAGTAATAGGAAACCTCGACTCAATCTGTTTAAACAATAAGGAAACTTATTATCTCATATATCATTAGGTGAAGGGTAGGCAGGACCCAAAGTAAGTAAAATTGGGACTCTATTTCCATTACTCTGAGATTTTTTTTATTGCTTTTTTCTGTATGTGGACTCACATTAGCTTCCATCATGGTGACAAGATGGCTTCCTGCATGTACACAGGATATCTTCCTGCATGTGCACAGGATGGTTTCTTGTATGTACTTGTGATGGCTTCCTTCAGGGTCACTAGAGGCAACTAGGGAAACTGGTTTCCCATTTTTATATCTTGTGAATGAGAGAGGGGAAAAATCCTTTCCCCCCCACCATAAAGGAAAAGGTCATCCCATCAATCTTGTCCCTTTAAATCACCAGGAAATGCTAGTTTACTTAAATCTGGATTTCTGAAACATAGACTTGCAAGGGAAATAGGATTGCATAAAGAAACAGAATCTGTCCTTAGAGCATGGGTGAGTGGGGGATGGAAATATCTGAAAAAAAGACGAGGCTTTGAAAAAGATGAATGGGGGAAAGGCCACAGGATAGATAAACAGCAGCATCCACCATTGGTGGTCATGTCAATGATCTAAGACATGCTTACATTTTAATTCTTATTAATGCCACATGGCAATGTACCATTTAAATATCCCCATAGAGAATTCTCAGGCACCTGACAACACTTACGAAATACCTCACCTCACCACACTACACTATTTCTCCAGGTGTGGGCCTCCCATCCATCACCCTCTCTATCCTCAGCATGCTCAGTTTTATGTGCCCTCAGAGGTGAAAGTTACCTAGAGGATCTTAATTGCCGGTCCTGAGAAAAGAGTGCCCAGCAAAGGTTTCAAGTCACCTTTATGAGAGGTAAGGCTACCATGCTGTCCCCACGCCAGTGATGTTTGAAAAGGGATTACCATGATGACCATTCTCCAACACTGCCATTCCTTCCTACGGCCAAACCTCAATTTATGGCCCATGCTCAGTTCCTGATCATGCTGCTGTCTGCCTCCACCTCCCACACTGATACTGTGTGTGTAAGTAATTCATCTTCATATGTACTACAAAAGTGTCAACAGTGCCAGGTCCATCCAGGCAATAATAAAGTTCAATTAAAACAGGAACTTGCAAAGTAAGTGAATCGTACCTAGATGAATTTCTCAGATGATGAAGGTCTACGTTTTATTAGTAAAATCTGAAAAATTATGTAGCTTGGGAAAACTGAGCAAGTTAAATTCAGGCAACTTTGTTTTTATTCATGCGTTCATTCCACAGACATTCCAGAATGTCTACTATGAGGAAGCAGCTGGATGGGGCTTACAGGGAGACCCAACGTTCCCCCCCACCATAGAGTGGTGTCTTAAATAAAGTTCCCCAGGACACAGCCTACTGAGATGAAAGTTTGTGAGCAGGAGGTGTATTAGAGGTGCTCTTGGAATTAATACCCATAAGGCAGTGAGTGAAGCAAGACTGACAAACGGAAGAAGATGAACAGCAATGCAGCTGTGACAAAGGCCTGAGCTCATCCCACAGGGAAGTCTGGATGAGGGATGGTTTTCCATCCTTATCCCGAGTTAAAGCAAGGAGCTCAGGCCTCTGCATCTCTACTTGACCAGTCAGTGGAATTTAGCTGGTCCTGAGGAAAGGTCATAACCTTGGGCAAGGCAGGTCCCCTCACTCATGAAACTTCCTGTAGAGTTCTCAGCTATGCATGGTGAACAGTCAACACTGCTGGAAGCTGGGGAATGAGTTCCTCAATCCTGAGGCGAATCGGGGCAGTTCATCACTGTATCCGCTGTAGGCAGCAGAGTTAAAAATGTTTATTTAGCTTGACTTGGGTCAAGGGAAAATTAGAAAGTACCTGTCTTGAAGCCCTACTGCTATTCCAAATATATGGTGACAAAAGATAAAATATAACAACTAATAAGCAAAAATAGACATTTACATAAGGTATAAAAAAACCCCAAATTAAAAAGATATGTACCTAGGGGTGCCCGGGTGGCTCAGTCAGGCATTCAACTCTTGGTTTCGGCTCAGGTCATGATCTCAGAGTCATAAGATCAAGCCCCATGTCAGGCTCTGTGCTGGGCATGGAGTCTATTTGGGATTCTCTCCCTCTCCCTCTCCTCCTCCCCCTCACCTCACTCATGCATGCTTTCTCTCTTAAAAAAAAAAAAAAGATATGTACCTATACTTGACACGTTGCCCTAATATAACTTTCTTCATGGTCACACAAAATGGTTCCTAATGGTGATAAGGTGGCTCCCTGGAATGGTTAGAGCCACAGAGTCTTTATTTATATCCCATGAGAAGGAGAGGGGAAAATTAACCTTTTCTTTAACCATAAAATCAAAGTCCTTCTGTCCCATCTTGTGCCACACCAATCCAAAGACAGCCAAGGACAACATATCTGTAGAGCAGGAGCCCAAGGTGGTGAAGGGGCTGCTGGAAAAGAGAAAAGGCAGTCAGGAGTTTGGCTCCTATGAGAAAATGGAGACTAAACATTCCCTCGACGGGAAGGGGATGAGAGCCAAGATGACTGTGCGAGCCTAGGAGCTAGACTGTCTTTTCCCACCTCTGAAAGAAAGCTGAGAAAGCTGAGATTTTACTACAATGGGATAATGAGGCAGGCAGGAGGGACTAGACACAGCTTCTACCCAAAACTTGGATGAACAGCTCAATGGCTCAGTAGCTGCATCTGTGTCGATGCAATATTATCAACAACAGCCTTAATCCAACACGAGAAAACAGGGTTCTGGACTGGGGATCCTGAAGAGCCAGCTGCAAACCTGGTAAATAGGGAGGAGCGAGCACAGAAAAAAAAAACAGGAGGGAAGAAAAGATGTTCACTGAAGATGAGCCTACAGTGCAAAATCAAAAAACATGCACGGAGATCGAGTATTAAAGAAGAAATCCTATAGAATCAACAATGAACAATCAATAATGGATGATCATTAAGGAAAATGACAATAATGAAAATAATAGAATCATCTGAGGTTAACATTAAAATAGTTAAGTTCTGGAGGGGGACACCAGCATCATGATGGCAGAAGACATCCTTCATGTTTGTCTTCCACCAACAACAAAAAGTCATCATCCATCATGGACAAAAGTACCTTCAGAGAGCTGTGGGATCCAGCACCGTATGCCAAGGGCCCTGGAAGGAGGTCTCACCCACCCATGCGTCAGGTAAATAGGCAGACAGACCTTGGTCCTGGCTGTGGGGCCTGCAGCGGTCCATGAACAGACTCCAGGCCCTCTCAGCCACAATCTGGAAGCCCCGGGAAATTGCTTTCTAAGATACTCACCCACAGATGAAAGAGCCTTTGGGGAAGTCCAGGTTTCAAGAAGAGAAGTTCCAAGACACTGCTGGAGCAAAAAAATACAAGTTTGGGCAATAGGGAGTTATTGTTCAAAGGGTACAAATTCCAGTTACAAGATGAATAAGTTCTGGGGATCTGATGTATAACGTGCTGATTAGAATACTATAATATATACACTTGAAAGTTGCTAAGGGACTAAATCTTAAATGTTCTCCCCACAAAAAAGCAATGATAATTCGGTGATGTACTGGACATGTTACCTAATGTTCCAGTGGCAATCATTTTGTAACATACAAATGTACACTATCAACACAGGTTACACCTTAAACTCACACAATGGTATATGTCAATTACATCTTGAAAAAGCTGGGAAAAAGTGAAAAGCTAATTAAAAATAAAACAAGAATTTATGGGGGGATACAAGCAGTTACTTTTTATTTTATTTATTTATTT